TTTAGCTATTCTCGGAATATTAGGACGGGGACGTCTTGTCGGTAATTTTCGGTACCATTTCTTATACCAGCTAAACGACTACGACTTCAAATATCTTTCGGAGAAATCTAGGCCGGATTGAAAGGGAGCGACGTTGTACCCGCATGTGTTTGCCTCCGCATTACAAGTTATGAGTTATGAATATGTAATTTAAAAATACTCATAACTCGCTTTAAAGTTAAAATATTGTATTCTACAATAATTATAATAATCGTAGAATCTAAATAAATATTATCAGAACACAAAATTAGAACTGATGAACACAAATTTTCTGTTTGTTTATATTTGTAAGAGGAGAGGACAACACGGCGGGTGTGTAACTTCCACTTGAAATATTTTGTGCCCCGGGGTAGGTATTTTTTCAATTATTGATTTATGATGTACCGTACGCAATACTATAAATTGATATATTATTCTTAAACAAAATGAAAATTGTTGGTTTAACCCCCAGTAGTTGTAATATTATAAAATGTATGATGCTGTTTAATTTTACGCACTTAAAAAACCTTGAGTTCGGTAACTGATTTCAAATTTTTCTGGCCGTGGAATGATAAAACACCTCTTATGAAAATATCAAATATAACAGCATTTTTGAACACGCCTCAACTTTCCTTTTTTTAAATATTATTTAAAATAATATGTATACGAATTCTTGTCATGAAATGTATTAGTGTAATGTAATAGTGAAAAACCCACGTAAAATGTGTTAAAAATATGTTGTTTTCTTTCATTTTGATAAAATATGATTGAGCTCTAAAATCGCACTGAAGACGAAGTGACGTCCTATCTGTAACAATTTGGTATGCATTTTCTATATAATTTTGTAATTATATTATACACTTACGCAGAAATCAATAACGGTTGAGACACGGGACCATCAGACGGTTGATTACTTAGAATTGGCATTTAAATATATTTTAACTTTTCTATTTGAATATTGTTCTTAAAATGTCGTTATAATTGTTTCTTTATAAGACACGGGTGTTCAGTGATGACAAATTATTTTAATATACTTGTGGCCTTGTAGAATGTTTAGATAGTAATGTAATGTTAGTTTATTATTATTTTGGTCCGAGAAAATTCGAGTTTTTAGATTATCATTATTTCCGAAACAATAATGTCTTGGTACGACATTCGTCTTTTTCAAGCAAAATACATTAGGCATGATTTTATGACTATTCTTGATAAATCATAAAATGTATGAAATCACCGAGTGTATCAATAAATTAAATTTGTTTTGATTTTCAATAAGTTCAGAATCTATACGATAAAATTAATATCTTACATTATAATATAATATAAATTCTGTAGGTATTGAAATTCAAAACAAATTAAATAAATATATCATTATTTTTTCCATCGTCATACCAGAGGGGAATAAATAATGATGTGCTGGTTTTTTTCAATCCGATTCGCGTGTTGACTACTCATGAAATAATTTTATATTTTTATTTCACATCATTATCTATAATTTTGCTAGCGTAAACGAATAATTCGATATTATTGTATATTTTTCTGCGTACCTAAATAGTAAAATGGCCTGTCAAAAACATACAAATTCTATAAATATTAGTAAATTAATCGGTTTTTCGTTCGTTATCTTTTTGTAAGCATAGCCAATAACACGATGATTCTACACAACTTGTTCGCGCACATTTCACTTTTTTTTTACCTTACGAGTCTTTTGCTCATAAATCGAAAATATAATTAATCAAAAGGCTCATTTCGTTTATATAACACATTTTGTAGAAAACACTAATTTTCCATCGAACGTTTCAGACTTTGTACGTCTACTACCTAGGTACAAAGGTCGTTGTCGATTATCGTTAAACTCTATCTGTAGAAATGTATATCATTATCAGGAAACACGTATCGTACTATCGTGTGTCGGACGTCGGTCACACGACAATTAATTAACAAACACCAATTGACAAACACACTCCAATAATTTCCACCAGAAACTCGTTTCTGCAGATAACTGATAAGCAAACAAATTGGCTCTCCGACGAGAGCATACAAAGTGCAATCATCATCAAACATTGAATATTATATTATTATCCGACTATGTTGAAATTCCAAATATTTGTAAACCGCGATAAGGCGAACCGTGTGGCGTTTTTAATGAGAACAGTTTTAAAAGTGGCAAATTTCGAATGTTTAAGGCTTAGGTAGGTGACGCTAATTTTTTTTTATATATGAACAAAAAGCGTTGGGCGGGTGACTACAAATTGTGCGTGTAAACGAGTTCTTTGTTCTACGTTACTTCATAGTTTATCGGTAGGTATATAATAGTCAGAGTTCGGAACATGTTGGACTCAAAAAATATTAAAAATATGCAGCTAACATTTTTTTGTTAGAAAAAAATCCATTATACTTACTCATAAAATGTTAAAACGTCAAAAATAATTTTAAATTAATAATAATTAATAATTTACGATATAATAATAACGAAACCTAACTCAATGTATTGATTAAAAGGATGAAGTAAAAAATGATGTAGATAAATAGATAGTTGTTTGTTTCTAAGTTACACAATGCCGAGTATCTAAGGTAGATACTATGTAAGTACTCGGATACAAAATAACGATCGCCGCAATATACAAACGTACAGATTTTAAGTTCTTCATACAATCTAGACGTCATTAAGTTTATAATATTGTGTGATTGTCGATAGCAATGCCATTGATTAAGTGAAGAAAATTTATTTTGGGAATTATTTTTCACAACAATCTAAAACGATATTACCCGAAACTATTACATTTATGACAATAAAAAAAACACTAATTTGCTGACAAATGTTTAAATATGCATTTTTCCTAAAATATTATGACGAAACAGTAAAAAATATGCAAAGTCAAACTTTGTATTTAATTCCACCATTTCGTATAATAAATTTATATCTCACCTATGACTAAAAAACATTCAAATGAAAGGAGTCCCGTGAACCTTAATAATAATATTGCTCCGAAAACCGATAGAAAATTCACTTTAGGGGGACTAAAATATTACAGTAAAAATAGGTAGGTCCAGTTATTAAATTGGGAAACAAAAATGTTTTGACGGTGACTTAATCTGTGTAATAGAAACAATTTTTTTTATGCATAAACACTATAATTGTGTCATAATGTCATCGAATCGTTTAAATTAGTGTTGTTATGCAATGCGTTGGATGTATTTTTTTTGTAGCAAAAAAGTAGCACACTGATCGCCCAGAAAAAGTTCTCGTCTTTCTCGTTTAAATATTTTGTTTCGTAACTACAATATAATATTTTACGACTGCATGTTTACCCACGCCACTATCCGACGATAATGCATCAATCAAAAGCGGTAACGTCACGGGAACACTATAATTACATTTTGTGGTTCTTCGTTTTTATTATATATTTATGTTTCTCTAATGAATATTGTCATTATTTTATATATTATTTATCATTTTTTCATAAAAATCGTTACCTACAACTGTTAAATATTACAGATGCGCTTGATATTATTACTCTATGACTTGATGACACGCACAGTAGGCAGCTAAACGTATAGAAATACTTATTATTGCATACACAAAACTCCTTAAGAGACATGAAAAGAATGCACTGCTCTAAATGTGGCGCTCGTGTACACTCCAAGGGTTTTTGTTTTGTTATAATTTAAAAAAGGTTTGTGTAAATCAAAACCAAAGTCAAAGTGTTTTGGAATTGTTATAAAATCACCAAATGTTCACAGTCCGCTTATAGTGGAGAACATATTTTTATCTGAAATAAAGCTTTTTCAAAAGTTCGATGACTTAATCCTCTAGTTTTTAATAATTTAGTGAAATATATAATAAAACCCTTAACTTAAGCATGGATAATATTCTTATCTATACAAATTTGGTGATTTTAGCATTATTATAACTTCCTACAGTTTTCATTCACTCATAGGTAGTAGGTACTCTGTTTTTACACTACAAATTAAAGCCGCACTACGGCTATTATTTAAGGGGCAAAATTTAGGAAATTTATAATCTCGTATTAGCCGCCCGGAATCTATGTGTTAGTTGTAAATAATTATTAGTGTGTGTGAAATTCAATGCACCACTCTCGTACGTGCATGAACATGTCAATAAATCGATAAGAATATAAAATTCACTATACGTAGGTACGAATAATTTTACAAAAACTTACATATTTTCTTGGAAAAATTTAAGTTAGTTGACTTCTGATTTTGATCCTAAAAAAATATTTGAATTCAGCAGAAAATTGTCTGTAGATCTTACGAAACAATTTTTGTTTTTAATTTTAATAATGATTTAAAAAAATTCATATTTTCAAGCATTCAATTAATACAGTTTACAATAATATAAGATTTAATTTGTACAGTGTTCCATCCGATCTATAGACAATTTTCTGTCGAGTTCAAATTATTTTTCAAAATCGGACAACCTGAACTAACTTTAATTTCTAAAAATACTTTAGGTCTTTTGAGCTCAAATTAACTGCAGTAGCAGGGCCTCTTAAGAGTGGGTCCTGTTATTCTATAGTTTGTATCGTGTTTCTCATATTAAAGTAACAAGTTGGTACATATTATTATTGACATGACATTATTTTAAATATTCTATAATAAATAATCAATATAATTAATAAAACTATGAAGAAATTGTTCGAAAGAAATTCTATTTCTATAGTTCTATATCATCGGTGTGTATGTTTAGTTTTAATTATGATTAAAAACTATGAGCTAGTGAAATATTTGTCATCATTTAATTATAATTTGTAACTGCGGACGTCATGTGGTGTACCGGTTTGATTTAATTATAGTTTTTCTATTTTCTACCCTAAAACATAACTTTATGAAAATTAATTTTAGTTAATATATTGTCGGTCATAAATTGAGAACTCTGTTTTTTCAGGCATTAAACGATTTGTCATTCGAGTTGGTTTATGTCGGACGGTGAGAAAAGATAAAAGGATCCAAAAAAAGCAACCATGTTGAAACACGTGCACCGAGCAAAATGTGCCGACACACTTAGCATTGTGTCTACAGCAAGTTCTTTCAACCATGAGCCTATGTCTAGTAGATGTTCAAGCATAACGTCGTTGAACATTTCAAATCCAGTTGTAAGTTTTTAGACGATATATTTTATCTAAATTTTGAAAAACGTATTTTTGAAAGTTAATTTTTAAATTAAACTCTACAATAACAAAATTAAAGCTTAATAACTCAGAAACTCTAGTTCATATTTCAAACTTTGAACACAACATCAACTTTAAAAAAAAAATCATCTTAACAATTTACAATGAGAAATATTTGAAAATATGGTTCTTAAGCACCTATACTTATGAATTCTCAAAACTATAATTGAAGTATAATGGTTATTAAAGAAAACAATTGAGGTGAGCATGCATGGATGCATAATCACTCTCAATTGTCTATTTATTCATGATTTATCTATTACAATTTATACATTTTTGTAACTGCACTATTTAAATAGAGATTTTTAACCCTATACTCTAGTCTATACACAATGTCTGTTTTTAATTTGTATTCAACACCATTGGCGATTGAAAGTGTATCAATTATCAGGGCCGATCTGTTATTGGGAACTAATGAAATAGCATATAAATGATACACAGCATCCCCGTTACACCTTATCACTTTCAATCGCTAATAACCTTTACCCATTATAGATAAATACTATAGTTATGCAACTAATTAAAATATATTTGAATGGGAATTTGTTAAAAGGGACCCAAGTTACATTTTTGACAAAAATAGTTTTGTTGTATATTATTCATCCTCTTATGTAAACACATATTATATGCTTATAATTTGTAAATCAAAGAATGATTCAATAAAATTAGGTACATAAGTTTTTCTTTTCTTTTTAATATTAATAAAAAAATATTGTTTTTTTAAGATTGTTATTCATTTGTTTATATTCAAAGTTTGTTATTTAGTTGCATTTTTATCTATTTAATTGGATAAAATAAATAAGAAGGTATTATATTATTTTAAAATGTGACTATTTTATTAAATTATGATACCTTAAATTAATAAATTTATTAGAATTTGTTCAAAGGTACCTATGTCAACAAAAATTCGTTATATTTATAAAAATACAAATTTTTTTTTAAATGATTTTTTTTGATATTTATTTTTTATACAATATTATTTAATCCAAATTGTGATGATTGATCTTATTACTCAAATAGAAATAAAGGTTAACTGTTTTTGTTTTTCCTGAAAAGTAGTTGAAAATGTACATGGGTCCCTTTTAACAAATTGCCATTAATTTACTCAGGTTGAATTTTTTATTTCATATAACTTTACGGATGACGCTTATTTACGGTGCTATGGAATTATTAATACGATAATAATACAATATAATATTATAGGATACAATCAAAGTGTACACAAAGTGTTTGCGTGCCGATCTCGAGTATAAAACACTCGGGCTGGCTTATACGACGACTTGCAGTGAAGTGATATCCATTCTGCTCAACAAATACCGAATGCGTCACAGGGACCCGAATTTGTTTTTCATGACCATGGAGATAAACCTCAGGAAAATCGGTAGGTTAATGCGGCCGTAAATATTGGCTATAAGTGAATAACTGCGATTCACGTTTAAATCATTAAATTATTTACTCTAAATATCATCATTGCAATGATCGTATTTTGATTGTTTTTATTCAGGACTCAGAACCGTATTCGTCCTGGACAACGAATCGTGTCCTGCCGTGTTGCAGTCATGCCATCCCAGAGGAGAATCGAGGTAATTTATAGTATTTTTATTTTTATTTATTAAATTGATATAAATTACCCAATACAATTAATACAAATATTATAGTACTAGATTTATCCATCTCTTTAAGCTATGGCTTGTTATGGGAGTTATACAAAAGACAAAAGATGTGAGATTAGTACAATGTTGAAAAGATTAAAACATTAACATTAGTATTATTAATTATATTATCTTTATCCAATTCCGGTTTGATACTTCCGTATATTCTCTCAAACGTTATTCGCCTGTTTTTATATGACAGCTACACGTCTTCATACAACTGTTTTCATTCGCACAAAATTTACATAGGTTTTTTTTCTTCGAAATTTTCAACATAATATTGCTGCATATTTTATTAATCATAATTTGTAAAACCCTTAGTATTGAGCGGTTTTAGTAACTCCACACATAATTCATTTGTTGGATGATATTTATTTTTATTAAATTTAACACTTACGTTTTGTTATTTGTTTAAGGTTTTGCTTGCAATCTAAAAAAGGTGGCCTTGTGAAAGTGTACGACGGCGAACTGATGCCAGGGGTAAGTGTAACGATCATTCTTTGCTTCGAACTTATCCGTATTAACAATTTTGTATATTTACAGTCCAAGTATAAAAGCTTATTAATTTCCGAACGCACGACCGTCGACGAGCTGATCAAAATATTGCTCAACTGTTATAATAGCAAAGAGCAAGTTGAACAGTTTTCTTTGTACGAGGTAATTACATTAAAAAAAAACATACCCATTATGCGATCGAGATTTTACACTTGCAATTAATATTAATTATAATTAACTATCATTAATTATTATTTGTTTATTTTGAATTAGTTATCGAAATCCGAAGAATACCAACGCAAACTCCACCACGATGACATGCCATTGAACGTGCAATGCTGTTGGCCCTCCAATAGGGACTACATTTTCATCATTAAAAGGAATCCGAATTATAAGTCGAAACAAGTGAGCTAAAAGAGCCAATTTTGTTACTATGTATTATTTTGACATCAACATGTTGAAGGATAGTCACTACTATATAGAGTAGTCATAATAAAATAATTTGTAATATGACCATGGCTGGTAAAACAGTCAAATATTAAAAGACAATATAATAGACTTCCTCTTAAATTATTTTAAAACACTATGTATTTGTGACTGTGCTGATTATATTCCTAGAAAACCAAAGTTAAAAATAACCCGTGGGCCGTGGGGCACAAAGCTCTCACACCCCTATCGCGAGCATCAATAAAGCTTATTATTCATAATCAAATACTAGAGAGTCCTATAGAATAAAAGTTGAAAATGAACCATAAAGTAAAAGTGTCTTTGTCATTAAAAATAAAAAGTAAACAATAAAATAAGTATTTGTATCTAATATATTATATATTTATTACTGTTTACGTGGCATACTCCTATATTTAAATGTCTAAAATATCTCTATTGATAATCTTATTACTAATAATAACTTTTAAAAAATTAGTTGTTAGATGATTTATTTTTCTTTATTTATTATATACAGATCACCAATTCTGTTTTGGATCATATAGTTGACCAGGTGATGTGTGTTTTGATTATACTTACCTAAAAGTAGGGCCTGTGCCTCACCCATTCACCATATTTTATATTTTTTTATTACATTATTTTGAGATGGAAAATATGAGTTACAACATAACTATGTATAATTTTAATCCCCCCCCCACTCTAAGACATTTCTAAATACGCCACTGCTTAGCTATTGCGTACAACATATTTATGACTTGCAAGTGTTATTATAGATGTGACAATTTTAATTTTTCTATAATTATAAGCTAATGGGTTTTCCATCTTGTTATTAGGTGCAGACAATTTGGACCGACCACCATGAAGAAAAAGAAGAACCTTCAACAAACGAATACGAAAATTTTATTTATATATAAACACTGTCGATGTATCAAACGCATCATGTATATAATATACACCGTAACAATTGTTACTGTGACCTTATTCGATGTTATATAACACAGAAAAATCACTTTGTGGCTGTTTTTATACTACCAATCATGAAAACAGTTAGCGATTTCTTTTTCAAGCTTTTACAACTTGTAAGTTTTTAAGCATAGAGATGTATGTACAAAATATCTATTATTTTTTTACTTATAAAATAAATGTCTATGTGGTAGGTTTTAAAAATAGTGTAATATAATATGAACTGTGGAGCTACAACACAGTTGTAGTGTGTAGAATTTATTTTTGTAAATGGGTCTCAAATTTTTGAAATGTTAAAAAATACTAGTTTTTTATTTGCTAAATATTGGAAAAAAATTAAGGCGTACATTTGGATTACGACTAAAAATGTAATCTATAATAGTCTATACTTGAGTTACAATAACAGTGTAATGTGTGTCAACAAATTATTTTATTAACTCTAATAGGTACAAGACTATCCACGTAATGATTTTATATTATTAAACCATTTTCAAAACGATGATCATTTTAACCGTCAAAAGTTGTGTTACCAACAGAAAAATCAACGCCGTGATTTAATTCTAAAATTTTACTCAACGGGTGCCTGTTTAAATTACATTTTAGTCGTTGATCCATGCGCCCAACTATAATCGAGCACGCTCTTCTTTTAATTTTTTTTTATCGTTATATTATTTATATTTCTTTTTTTTTTAAATACCTACATTGTTGTTCTTGAACAATGGCGGACTATTATAAGTTTTTGTTTTGAGAATTATTTTATGGATGTATTTTTTTTTGTTAAATTTATAGCTTATTTAAACATTGAAAAAAAAAACATTGTGTGTAATTTTATATTGTTAAAATCAATTGATAGAATCACAATATGAACTGTAATAATTATTTTTAGTCAAGGCAATCTGCCCATTCTATACCTACATTAAACTTCTTTTGATAAAAATTCTACTATTTTGTTAAGCTTTTACTAGTCTTAAATCATTATGTTTTGTTTATAATATGTAAGTTCATTGATGAACCAATTATGTATGTATGACAGTGAATTTGTCATACAATATTGTGGAAAAATAGTCACTTGTTTAGCTGTTAGTTTGGGTGCCTAAATTATGGATAGCATATTTATTATTAATACTTGGGTAAAATTTGATTTGCTATTTAAATTAAATTAATGAATTTAGTACTGCGAGTTCACATGATGAGGTACAATTTGTCCAGTCTGACAACTTATGCTAGAAAATAATATTTTAATACAAAATTAATATGCCGATAGCAATACGTAATTTTATACAATATTTTATCGCATTAAACTATGTAGTGGTGATATTTGATTGATGTTAATATAAATATTGTGTTACAAAATATTATTATTGACTTGAAATAGTAATTGCACTATTGATAAATTGCGTATAATAATAATGTTATTAACAAAATAAATTCAAATGGCATATTTAAAGTATTATTTTCTGACATTATTAGTTGTTGGATATACAAGTTGTAGGTGCTCACTAAAATGAACTAGGACTAGTAGTATATTTTATGTGTTTTTTTTTCTTATTTGTATATATAGTATTTTTTTATTTTTTATAATCCTATTTTTCAAATTTATAAAGTTATGTACAACAGTAAAATATTCATTACTGTTAAATATTTAAGTACAGTAAAGTCTTGATAACTCAAATCTCAAGGTGAATAAAAATAAATTTAACTTATGTATTTTTCGAGCTATACTTTTCAAACGCAACTTAAAAACAATTCAAGAGAAGAAAAAAATTTGAGATTTTTGAGTGTATAAGGTTTGAGTTATTGAGACTCAAATGTACAGATTGTCATCGTACATTATAACCAAAATGCATTATGGTGCCTTGAATTATGTATGTACACTGTAATTAGACTATAAATTAAATTAAAAGACTAATGAAATAAAGGTAATGTATTTTTTTACCAATAATGTTGTTTAATAATTGTTGATTAAAAGTGCATTTTGGTAATTGGTTTTGGACATTGTATTTCCTTACGATTATGAATTGTGTTAGAATTAAGTCTGTAATTGAACAATATTAGATGTTTTTGTTTGCAACATATAATTTAAGTTAATCATCTTAAGAGGGCTTTACATGACATTTTAACAAATTCAAAAAATGTTTATTTTACATTTGATGAGGTGCTTGTAATAAGGATTAATTTGTATTGGCTCAGTTTTGAAATTTTTCATCATTCAATAAAATAGTTAGTATTAATGTAAATTAATAATGTTAATTACCTTTTAAATAGTTTTTATAATTTACACCCTCTAAACTTAGAGGGTAAAGTGAAATTTTTTTTCTGTTTACTATAAGATACTTAAAACTGTCTAAACAATGTAGTGTATATTGCACTATAATTTAAAAAAAAAAACATTAGTCATAGTTTATTAATGTTATTTGCCAAAGATTATGTATATTTGTATTATTAATAACAAATAAAAACATATTTGAAGCATTCAATACAAACTAAAAATAATTTGTACTTCATTTTTGTGAAATGGAATGTATATGCATAATATGTGCATAATATTCAAAATAACGATAATATTCAGACATTATTAAAAATGGCTAGTCATTTTAGTGATACTAAACTTGCCTAACTAAAGCAGATAATGTCGCAAACACTTGTCAATATTGTCAGAGCAATATTTGTTTTCTCTTTTAAACTCAAGCTCAACATAGATAAAACACTTTCATCTAAAATCATTAATTATGATCTTATAGTTAAATCACCTATTACTAAAATTATAGAGGATAATAAATCTGAAGGTTTTATATTTTATTATTATTTGACTTTGTATTCGACTTTAAAAATGAAATAAAATTAGAAATTTAAATTATTCTTGAAACAATATTTAATTGATATCATACCCTCAAAAAAAATATTCTCTATTGTTTTTGTAATATGTGGTTTTACTCGTAAGATTACTCTAAAACATAAAAAAAAAAATGATTCTGTGAAATTAGTTTTGTTTATGTTGCGTGTGCGCCGTGTGGGCCAGAGAGAGAAAACCATGCTGAAATTATCTTAAATAAAAATAACTTTTATTTGTCCAAGTCTGTAGTGGAACACAAAATTAACAGGCCTATAATTACTAATTAGGTTATTTTTAGAAAAAACATACATGATAAATAATAATTTATAGATAATTAACTATGTATTAGAAACATATAATGTAATTTTCCAAAAACTTATATAATTGTTTTTATTTTATTATAATTTATTTCAACATCATTTGTTACACCACTATGGTAGTTTTAAATACAAGCTAAACGATAGGTCATGGGTACATTTATCACATTTGCAGTAGCATCGTTGGAATCCTTAGTGGTCTCCATAGACACTTCATAAAATCTAATTATCTTAACCTGATATTCATGAACATAATATAGGTAATACATTGTTTGCTTAGTAAAACTCTACTACAAGCACTTCAATAACCATTAAACTTACCGTTACCATTATTGTCTTATGTCCACTTAACACAGAACCCTAATTTTTGAGTTTTGACAATTTCAGGGAACCTAAAACGAAGATAACGATGAGACTCAGATTACATATAATATATATATTTTTTCATTAGATCTAAAACATATTGAATACTTTTGTTTGTTCATTAAATTCACTAAAAGTTGGTTAGAGATAGTTATAATTTTTTTTTTTTTTATAATGATTCATTTTTGGTTAATTATTAGAAATGTTTTTGAATAAAAATGTCATGGTTCCTTAAAATAACTTTATTTTATGTATTTTTAATATTGCTATAAAGTTCATTTTGGAATATAAATTAATTTAGTTACTTAGTTATGTGACACATTTTCAGGAACATAAAAATGAGTTAGTTTTTTTTTTAATTGACCATAAGGCCTAAAATGTTCACAAGTCACAGAGAAGAATGATCTATGTCTGCATATTATATTTTTGTTTAAAAGGCAATCCAAATCATTTAATTGAAAAGATTTACTTTTTTTGTTGAGCAAAACCGTGTTTCGTTATAACTCAACAACCATTGTTTGCTGATATTTGACCACATTTAAAATACTTTGGAATTAGTAGTAAAATATTATTAAAATTTAAAATGAAATCTTAATATGTCATTAAAATTGCCTATATTAAACCCCTCGAATGGCTGGTGTGGCGTACTCGCCGTAGTTTCTACAGTTTTAAAAATTCGACATCGACCGCTTGTAAGAAGTTCAATGTAGGCAATTTTTTTTAACAATTCTATTATCGTTCAAATGTGTGTGCTTGGTCGTGTGCCATCAATGATAATTTGACTGTGTTCTATGTGACTGTGTAACTACTGAGTACTGACTGTAGTGTTTAAAAGAACACCATGTCAACAAAGTACTCGAATATTAATTATTTTGTTTTTTTGTTGTCTGAAAGTATCGATTTTTATCCTATTGTATTAACTAACATATTATTTGAATTCGTTATGAAGTTTACTTGAAATCTACTTTCTAGATTCTGAGCGGAGCGATGAATGTATTGATTTTACAATGATGTGTGTTTTTTTGTGTCTGTGTACACGATAAGTAGTCGAAATAATGCTTCGATTTTCAACTTCAGTATCTTGTTTGATTGGAAAGTGAATATCGTTGGTGCATTGGGGAGGTCAAAATTTAAAATTCCCAATAGTTTTCACAAGCGCCGGGAAAAACAACATAAAAATTAAGGAAAAACGGGAATTTTTACGCAAAATTGGTTTTCCAAAAAATCGATTTTGGTTATTGGTGTAACTCTAAAACAAATGAACGTATATACATGAAATTTTCACTGGTTGTTAATATTTGCATTTTCTATACACGATAACATTTTCAAAATATTTTGATTTATTTTGAACTGTTTAGGGACATTTTCATTTTCCATTTTTTTTTAGTTTTTTTTCTAAAAATATCAATAAAATTTTATTTGTTGGTTGCGAAAGCTT